GAATTTGTTAAGAGGTCTGCCCTAATATGTTATCCATTACCTCACTGGCAAGGTGTGTTAACATTCACTTACCCTGCAGTTAGGCTATTTTACCTTGGAGATCTGTGAGCTAGCACTGTCAGCGGGAGCAGTGTAGAGGTGGAACAGACAATCCAGAAGACTCTGAGACGGCCAAGCCTCACTCAAAGCATAAAAAGCGCTATCACTGCAGGCTTCCTGAGGAGCTAGAAATATGCTGGTGAGAAAAGACGCAAGGCAATGCTTGGGGTATGCTCTCTGTAATCGCCAAGCTGAACCTCAACTCAAGGTTGCGCCAGGTCTTATACTTGCAAACGAGGTCACGTCCTTCAACTCTCACCACAACTACTCAATACAATTCCAGTAACGATTCCTATATCGTAGGATGTAGCCAACATGATCATGTAAAAGCTCTACGTGCAAACGCATTTCTTAAAGAAGAATCTGAGAGCTTCGTGCGCAGGAGCCTTGACATATTTGGTGAGAGCAGGGCTATGAGCCCATGTTGATTGCGGAACGACAAAAAGCACTATACCTAAATAGGAGAGCTAACCCCAATCCAGTAATTCACGATCTTCCAAAAACTGGTGCCTTGGTGCCTTGGTGCCTTGATCTCTGCGAGCCTTGGCGCTCTGGTGTGGACCTCCGCGACAGACTCGCAATTTTGCGAGATCTCAATATTCCTTTGATCCCAGTTTGATACAGACTAGAAACCTATATTTGCTTAACTCAGACCATCATCTCAATAACCGAAACAAATTTTTATCATGCCTCGTGCAATTAAAGGTGCGCCGATCATTGGACCCTTAAGATGGTTGACTGTGAACTGTTCTGACCAATATCGCACCATGACAGGAGTACTCATCGAGTGCGATCCATCCGTCAAAGCTATCATACTGAAGTATGACGAAGAAAGCCATGATTACATTGTGGAGGATCTAGACGATGACCGCCATCTAGTCATCAAGGAAAGCCAGCTACAAAATTTGAAGGAAAGACTAGGAAGGGTATGGATACCGAAACTTCTTCAGTGCCATGGGTGCGCTAATATTCGGATAGGAGCTTGATGAGAAAGTAATGCAGCCCGAAGAATCCGAATCTGAGTAAAGAGGAACGACGTCACCCAAATCGCCGAGGCAACGATACATCTCGTGAAGTTTTGGACGCCCCAGTATGGCCATTGGCCATCGACAGTAGGCCCGTCTTCGACAACGTTTTTCGACGAACTATTACCTGGAAATCCTACGGTCGCGACGAGCATGCTCGTCGACAGGAAGCAGAACTGCGAAAATGGTATCGAAGAATTCCGTCGAAATCTACGCTGTCCACAAGTGATTTCACTGTGAAATCACGCAGCATAATGCTTGCAATAAGACACGTTGCAAGATGCATTTGTGGTGTGACATAGAGCCAATAATCTCTATCATTTCCATGTCATGATGTGATGCAGGTTTGAATTCTGGTCTGGTGGCGAATTCAGATTGTAGCCAGAACCTACGATGGAGGAACACGTTGTGGCGGAGAATCATGCATTGAGCCTAGAGCCTGTATGACAGCTCATTAGACGAATGAACTGTGGTGAAACCAGGACATTCCATGGACAGCATCTGGTCGAAGTGCGGATTGCTTCGAAGCTTCTTCAAGCTATCTGAAGCTCTACGTGAAGCTTATGTGGAGATCCCCTTCTATCACGTGATCATCGAATCTCCGCGAACCATCGAGTGCACTCCAGCTATGTGCAGTCGACAATGCTCGATGATTCGTGATGCATCAAGCAACATCCAGCGCTCTCGAGCAGCACTTCCGAAGTCATCAAGGTAGAATCATGGGACATTCTCGAACCATGGCTCAGGGGTATTTAGGCACCTCCAACACCCCGTCTACTCGGGGTTCAGTTCACCAGATCAGAACACAACAATCACGATAACAATACACTCACATCAACTACAACAACCTTTCTCAGCGATATCAACTCGTTAACAACCTCATCACACACATTCAAAATGTCTCTCTTCCACAGCTTCCACACTCCTGGCGACTTCTCTCCTCTCTTCCGCCTTCTGGACGACTACGATGTCCACCGGTCGACCAGAGGCCAGACTTCCTCTGTGCGCTCCTTTGCACCCCGCTTTGATGTTCGCGAGACCAACGATGCCTACCTTCTGGACGGCGAGCTTCCCGGTATCGCCCAGAAGGACATCGACATTGAGTTCTCCGATAGCGATACTCTCGTGATCAAGGGCCGCAGCGAGCGCGAATACCACTCCGGCACTCCCGAACAGGCCACCCCGGAGCCCTCTGACGACAAGCAGAAGGAGAAGGAGAGTACCGAGATGGTCAAGACCGGTGACAAGCAAGTCAGCAAGAACGACAACAGGAAGCACCGCTACTGGGTGAGCGAGCGCTCTGTCGGCGAGTTCCACCGCACCTTCCAGTTCCCGACTCCTGTCGACCAGGACAGCGTCAAGGCCAGCCTGAAGAACGGCATTCTGTCCATCGTTGTGCCGAAGAGGGTCGTCAACACTGGCTCCAAGAAGATTACCATCGAGTAAATGGTCGACGACTGGAACCATTCTGACACGAGCATGATGTGACAACGAAGTGACGATAATTGCATACCTCCTTGTCTTTCCTTTGCATTCAACTGAGTTAGTTCGAAAGTTTCTCGACTCGACGGCAAGATGTTCTCGGTGGAAGCGCTTTTTTAAGTCAGTCCTTTCCTGCATACTTAGTGTACACTGTCAAGCAATAATTAAATTTAATTATTTTACTTCAACTTTGCTTTCTCATAATCGTAGTCCATATTGAGTAGAGTTGTCGCACAGTATAGTACACAGATGTAACTGAGAGGAGAGTATCGACATAAACATATACAGTGAATACAATAATTGGCCATGCACCTTGCACGCACTATCGCTGAAGAGCGTAGACTTCGTTCAAGAATTGCACCGCTTCCCCGAATATCTGGTCTCTGAGCTTCGTGTCGATGAATATCGATGGAACTAGTAAGTCACAGTTAGTTGCAGTTCAGCAAATCAGGAATACTACGTCATACTTTCCAACCACCCGTGTATCTGACCCTCGTCGAACCTGCTCTCAATGCGGTAGGGTTGCAACCGCGACTCGGACAAGTCCTGCTGATCAGCCAAGCCGCGATTGATGGCCGCAGCCTCCTCTTTCAACCTCTCCACGAACACAGTCTGCTCGTGCAGCAGAATATCCATTTTCGGAACCACGAACATCATATTCCGGGGCAGGCACTCGATATCCGCCAGGATAGGATGAAGTAGTGGATTGGTCAGGTTCTTCTCCCGTCCCGGTCCTGCGTACGCGTCCATCAGGGGCTGCAAGAAGGCCAGGGGGTCTTTCTCTGGAAATCCAGCCGGGCGAGGTTTCTCCCACGGCGGGAGCCGCAGATCAACCTGATAATAACCTCATATTAACCCCGGTCGATGTAGACGTTGGATAAGATATCTACCAACCGGTGCATAGAACGTCACTGACGCCTTGATACTGAACTCCGTATGCGCCAGCCGCTGCGCAACCCCTAATGCCAGATTCCCGCCAGCGGAGAATCCGCTCACACTCATCGATCTCGCATTTGCATCCCAAAGCCGCTCGGCGTTCTCGATCAACCATTCCGCAACGTCCTGGACGTCTTCATGCGCGGTTGGAAAGGTGTAACGCGGTGCATACCGGTGGGAAGTAGATACAACGATCGCTCCCGTTTCGTTGGCGACTTTCTGACAGAATGACGTCTGGCCTTCTGGGAGTCCGCCTAGGAATCCGCCGCCATGGATGTTGAGATGGAGAGCCCTCGATCCAAACTGGTTTTGTGTCCGTGGGTGATAGACGATGGCGCGGACTGAATGGCCTGGCGTTCGCTTCAGAGGAATCCAGATGACAGTCCGGCGGCCTTTGGTGAAAAGTCCGGGGAGATATTGGATTGTGTTGGAGAGTAGTACGATCGGCTGGAAAGCCAGGAGTCGCCAGCGAAAAGTGGGTGGTAATGATGGACAGAAGATAGCGTCGTAGAGAGGGCCAAACCAGCTGTTTAGAAACGACATCTTCGTCTTGGTTGATCAGAGAATGCACTGAAGTGAGAGAAGTGGTTGTGCTCGTATTCTCGCTGCTGCATTTATGCCACGTGAGTCATCATCTCAACCCCTGCGTTCGTTCATCTTTTCATGGCAAAGCCATTTAAAAGCCATTTCACAAATTAATATCATCTGATGACCAAGTGGCAGTGTCTTTAGAGGATTCAAAAGGTACGTCTCTATGCTGAAGGTCGAACCCCGCTAAGAAAGCTGAGGCATATGTGGCATAGTAGCTGTGGTCATTCGTTGTCAATTCGCTTTCATGCCTCCTAAAATCATGCAGCCATTTGGAGAGGAAAATTTATAGATGCAGTTATACTGAGCAATTATAAAGCATCAATAGTATGTCCACTGTGTCCAGTTGTCCGAGGCATTCAATTTTAAGGTTGCCGTGCAAAATATACATTTGCAGAATCCGAACAGCTTCCACCCTACCTCTTCCTATGTTTAAGAAGTCTGCTTGACTATAGCACTTCCCTTTCATTTGTATATCCAGATATATTTTATGCTAGCTGTGATCATATAATCGTAAATGCTGGCCTTGTCAAAATCAGTTGAACTTCAGGATATCTCGTCGCTTATCTGATCGGACCGAGGCACGTGAAGTCACCGACCAGAGTAGCATCTCCAACTCTCGATCCATCTTCTAGGATTCAAATTTGTATAAAATTCCTGTCATTTGTTCCAAACGCCTTGCTGTGCTCTACGAACTCTGAAAGCTACTCATTGTGCAACATTTATCCCAGTGCTCGGCAAGCTATACAGGACGGTCAAAGTTACCGAGGTCCACCGAGCTTCTACCCCAGATATCCACTGAGCACATAACATCAGAACAGAGAAGCTTCACAACATTAGGGGTTGGACCAGCACCAGAATTATATCGCCATGGCAGAAAACGATTACCAGTCACTCAAATACTTCATCGTCCGGTTTCCAGCCGAGCAGCAATATGTCGCCCACGTGGAGATTAACCGCCCCGACAAGATGAATGCCTTCTTCGAGGCGTAAGTATCAGCTCCTCGGGGTTATTCTCCATTTGATAAAAAACAGAACTAACAGAAACCAGAATGTGGATTGAGCTGGGTCAACTCTTCGACCGTCTCTCGCAGGACCCCTCCGTCCGCGCCATCGTCCTCAGCGGCGCAGGCGAGAAAGCCTTCACCACAGGCCTAGACGTCACCGCCGCTTCGCAGGGCCTCCTGTCCGCGGACGGTGACAAGGCAGTCGATCCCGCGCGCAAGGCGGCTCATCTCCGCCGTCACATTGTCTCCTTCCAGGACTGCATTACGGCCGTCGAGCGCTGCGAGAAGCCCGTCGTCGTCGCGATGCACGGCTTCTCGCTCGGCCTGGCGGTTGATCTGTCCACGGCGGCGGATGTGCGCGTCTGCGCGCGCGGCACCAAGTTCGCCGTCAAGGAGGTGGATATCGGCCTTGCGGCGGATATTGGGACATTGAGCCGGTTGCCCAAGGTGGTGGGGAGCTTTGGATGGGTGAAGGAGGTGGCACTGACGGCGAGAATATTTGGAGCGGAGGAGGCGCTGCGCGTTGGGTTTGTGAACCAGGTTTTTGAGAATAAGCAGGCGGCTGTTCAGGGCGCTCTGGAGATGGCTGCCTTAATGGCGACAAAGAGTCCGGTCGCGGTGCAGGGGACGAAGGAGATTTTGAATTATTCGAGGGATCACTCTGTGCAGGATGGTAAGTGCTCTCCCTACTACGCTTTTCTTCTACGCGTGACAAGCAATATCGGCTGACGCACTGCAGGTCTTCGATATACCGCCGTCTGGAATAGTGCAATGCTGCAGACCAAGGATGTTTCGGCCGCGTTGCTATCTGGGCTGAAGAAGCGCACTCCCACGTTTGAAAAACTGTAATTTATTTGCATATTTCTCCGCAATGTTCCCGCGGGGAGTTAGCCAGTCTCTCCGACTTTACTCTATTTATACTCGGAATGATGCTCCGTGACGAAAGTTTGAGTCGGGGTTACGTATACGAGCATATCCCCAAGCCACATAGATTGAAGGATCTAGATCAATCCTCCAATCAGCCACTGTTCCTGATCCTCTGGAATGTATCCGCCACTGGAACTATCCATTCAAATCCCAGTAACAGGTGGAAAATCCACATGAATGTAGTCCATACTCAGGCTTGTTGCGGGAAATTTCATCATCCTGCATAGTCCACTCTACAATCAACCTGCATCTCTGCAGAAACATATTAGAGCCGACCCCCTCTTCTGGTGAGAAATCCGGGGTAATAAAGATTCTGCACACTCGTGCCAAGTTGCGGAGAAGCATCTGGCGCCCCGTGACTCCTTTGATTTCAGCACAATCTCCTGAAACTCCGGTGGGCCGAAGGTGTGTCAGATCCTTCGTCACAAACAGGCTAAAAAAGAGGCCTGAATCGCGGTGGGAGATACACCGAGTTTCATAGACTTTTTCCACGTATGTCTTTGCCTGTAGTTGTAGGTTGCTCGTATGGGCGTAGCAGTGGAGGAACTACTATATAAGAGTGTTGGTTGCTTCGGCCATGAGGGACAGACTTTCATGTACTATTAGATACTCCAGAATCAGTCCTCAAAGTTATAAATTTCGACTCAAAATGAAGTGCTTCGCTCTCCTATCAGCACTTGCCCTCCTTCCCGGCACCTTGAGTGTAACCGTCTACATGGCGGGTGATTCGACGATGGCCAAGAGCGGAGGTGGAGGAGGCACTGATGGTAAGTCCCAAGCAAGGGAGGCCATTTGCAAGATACATATCTAACGCTCTCATCAAAACAGGATGGGGTCAGTACATCTCCTCCTCCGTCTCCGCCACGGTATCGAACCAGGCAGTTGCCGGCCGCAGTGCTCGCTCTTATACCCGCGAAGGCCGTTTCCAAGCCATCGCAAACGTCCTGAAACCAGGCGACTATGTAGTCATCGAGTTCGGGCACAACGACGGCGGCTCCCTCTCCACCTCCGATAATGGCCGTACAGACTGTCCCGGAACAGGGGACGAGACCTGCACTACCACCTACAACGGTGTCAAGGAAACCGTGCTCACCTTCCCCAAGTACTTGGAGAATGCTGCGAAGTTGTTTGTATCCAAGGGCGCCAAGGTGCTGATCTCCAGTCAGACGCCCAACAATCCGTGGGAGACCGGCACCTTCTCCTATTCTCCGTCGCGCTTTGTCGGCTACGCCAAATTGGCTGCACAGACCGCTGGCGTGGATTATGTGGACCATGGCGCCTATGTGGCCGCCATCTACAAATCGCTGGGCAGCACGACTGTCGATTCGTATTTCCCGAATGACCACACCCATACCAGCCCTGCAGGAGCTCAAGTTGTTGCAAACGCTTTCCTTAAGGCTGTAGTGTGCAGCGGCGCTAACCTGAAGAACGTCTTGAAAACAACGAATTTCCCGGGCACATGCCTGTGATTAAGACCCCTGCTAGTTTGCAGACCACGATGTCGTCTTACCGATAGTCCTTTATGTATATGAGAATTGATGCAGACTCCGAATCAGTCAATTATTCAAAGAAGTATTAGTGCCACAGTACATATCGATAAGAATGTTCAGAAAGTCAGCCACCGAACGACATTCAAAGTATGACTGAAAGTGAAAATACACAGTATGGCCGTCGCTAGATGCTAGTCATAAGCTCGTCAGAACTGCACGCTGCGCTGTGGTATCTTTAACTTGGAATAAAAACGAAATGATTATTTTAGTTCCTCCAGGGTCGCTTTGACAATCCCGCGCTTCTCCACACGTCGGTAGTATTGCGCCAAATTGGGATATTCCTCGTTCGAAAACGGTCCGCACGTCTGTACAATATCTCGGAGTACTGGCCAGAGGAAGCAGTCATCGAGCCCAAGTGCTGCTCCCCCAAGATAGTACTGCCCGTCCAGAGCCTTCTCCCATGGATCCAGGGATCCCGGGTTAATCTTTTCACCATTGCTGTGGGATGTTCGCCAGTCCTGTAAAAGTTCATTGATCTCTAGAAGCTGGCTGCCGCCACCCAACACTTCCACGCCCGCTCGTGTTAGCTCTGAAGCATGCTTTGCAAGATACTTCATAATATCTAGCTCCCCAGCAACTTCAGTGCCGTCCGCTGTGATAAAAATCGGCAGCGCTTTTCCCGTTGCGCCGTCTGAAGAAGTTGTCACCTCGTATCGGATACCATTCTCACTGAGCGCGAGGCGAACTCGGAGATTGGACACAGGGTCGGAGTCGTCAACCAACTTAGCTGTCGACGCGGTGACAAAGTTGACCACATCGAACCCTCCGCCATACACAGCATCCCAATCAAACTCAGTGGCCTGATTCTCCTGGCCAAACGCGCGAATCAGCCGCTCTGTCTCTACGGGGTCTCCATGGATTACGGTATTCGCCTGGCTCTGGCCTTTGGAGGCAGCTCCTTGGCCCCATATTGCATCACCGGCCCCGTTCAAGAAAGTGCCAATGTGTCTGAAGGTGAGCGATATACGTTCGCCTCCATAAGCCAGCTCTTCTGCGGATTTCTCGGCCTCTTGCCGCTTGTCGGGCCGTATGCCATGCAGCCAGCGCATGTTCGTCTTCTCTCCCAGGATAAAGAGTGACTCATGTGGCATGGGTATTCGCTGCGTGGGTCTTTGGTCTTCGTCCGCAGCTTTGACTTTGTTTCGGAGTGTCATCACTCGCTGAGCGCCAAGGCTCACATTGCAGATAAAGGACCCTCGGACAATATCAAGCGTCTTGTCCGAATGCTCGGATATGCTGTCCTGTCCGTCGCGGTAGAGTTGAATGAGGACGTGGTTGAGCGGGTGACCAAGGATACGTTCTACAATGATGCGGATCTGGTTCACAGTCGGTGTGAAAGGGCGTAACGGTGGAGATTCATCCGCGGGATGGCGGTATATAGGGACGGATCCGTCATTCAGTGTTTGTCCTTGGACTGCGACAAGACGAGGAACTTGCCCCGACATATGGTACATCTTCTGCCAAGCGACCTCGCTGCGGATACTCGCAAAGGCGTCCTCAGGCAGGTCCAAGTCATAAATGATGCGGGAATCACCTTCTCCAATCTTATCACCCGGCCGGCGTATATCTCGCGACTTTTTGGTCTTACCGCTCCGTCGTTCTTCTGTCCGATTAGACGCCTCCGCCTTTTGATCTTGTCGTCTTGTGCGACGCACACGTACACGTGCCTTCTTGTCTCCCGCACCATGAGCCTGAGACGAGCTTCCTGGTGAGCCGGATGGTCCGTAGCGGGAGCGGGAGCGGGTCAGGCTTGTCAGATCCAACAAATTGTCTCCCTCCTCGTCTGTTTGCTCTGCTAAGAGAGCATCGAGTCTCCGTCGCCGGCTGCTCAACGACTCTGGCGTTCCTTCGTTGGCCGTGGTCCCTCTCATTGTTTTGACATCGAGTTCATCCATTACGCCTTCGATGCCAGCGGGTGTAACGGCTCGCACGGGTCTGTGTGCACTTTGACGAGCAATAGCGTCGGTCTCTTGCCAATCAAGCTCTTCGAAAAGCTCCTGAGTTGTAATTCCACTGGCGCCAAATATATCGGCCATGCGGCGCATAGCTTCCTCATGACGTACAAAATCGCGGAACCCCAGGCAATCCTCAATGAGGGTTACAGAGAAGCCGTGTCGAACAGCGTCGAGAGCGGTAGCATACACCGAGACATTCGAGAGCGAACCGCAAAGATATAGCTCCGTAATAAATCTTGTGCGAAGAGAAAGTATCATTCCATCATCTCGCAGGGCGGAGTAATCCGACTTGTCCATCAACGTGTCATTTTCGGCATCGATAGCAGCCAAAATGGGCGCGGGGAATTGAAAGCCGTTCGACTGTGGCCGGCAACACTGCGAAGACTCGCTCGATAGAAACGCTTCCTCATCGACCGGTGTTTTCGAGTTGGGTCGCTCGGGCCTTTTACTTCGTTCATCCGTGTCACGACCTAGCACTATCCGGTCCTGGAAGTCCGAATCTATGAGGGGTCGGTGCGATTCATAGTGGGAGCGGACCCAGATAACATCCCCGGTGCGACGAAAAGCAGTGACTAATTGCGCAATATTTTCCAAGATGTCAGCTGCATTAGGAACATGCAGTGCACCAGATGGGCGAACAAAATCGTTTTGAAAGTCGAGGAGCAAAAGGGCTTTTCGTGTCTGGATGGTGGGCAGAGAGCTGAATGCGGAGAGAAGGCTCATTGTATTCACATGGTAAGAGGAGCGTAAGTGATGTTCTTAGATGATATCCGAATAGGAAAACATGGGCCGCTTGCTACAGGATAAGACACGATAGTTTATTATGACTCCTCAATGCAAGGTGGAGAGGAGTTGAGACAATCACCGATCGTTGACTTTGTAGCCAGATTGTTGTTGACGGCGGGGATACGAGAGAATGATACCTCAGGCAACAAGGCGCCTCCGAGACCAGAGTACCTACAAAGTACCTCTCCACTCCGCACACCTAAGATACATCAAGTGCTAGCCTGCGAGGCACCTCTGTACGCAGGATGCAAACTGCTCCTCCACTACTATGAAGACATGTGACTCCGCATTAACTTGGACGCAGTCTAGAGCAGAAGGCAATGGTCCTAAATGAGAGGAATAAGTGATAATTAACAGATTGATATGAATCACATTAATGATTGCTATTATCTCAAAACCCCCGACTTCTAAGACTCTGTGACTCAACCTTGGGATTTTCTCCATATTCTGGGTGGATGCTCCCCGTGGACGGAGCACAGATTTCACTATGGGGACTCAAAAGGAGCAGACAGATCGTTCTGCATGGCGATGGTGGTGTTCCTGTTGGCCAATCATACCACGTACTATCCGACATCGGCCGGGGAGCTCATCACCAACTCCGGTCACGTGCCTACCACAGCTGCTGCAGTCG